AGGAACTAATACCCTTTCTTTCATCTGGAACAAATGTCAATCAGAAAGATTGTAGTCCAAGTACCCTTAATACGTTCGTAGAAAGCTTAACTAAGTGTGTTCCTTCGATTTATATTCCACCAAATCTTTTAACATATTTGGGTAAATCTCATAATCTTTGGCACAGAGCCATATTAGTATTAGAAGATTTGGCTGCGGAGCACTCCTTACGGAGTGATATGAATATTGCGGATGTAAGTCAGCCAGAGGCCGACCTACAAAATTTGAATAACATATATGACTCTCTATCTAAAATGTACTCCGCTATGCACGAGGAAGATCTATGGGCAGGTCTTTGGCTAAAATTTGCACACTATCCAGAAACAAATATAGCCATTTCATATGAACAAATGGGATTTTTTGAAGAAGCACAAGGTGCTTATGATCTAGCTATGACAAAATTTAAACAAGATCTAAACAGCGGCCAAATAAGTGTTGATGTTAACAGCGAACTATTGTTATGGGAAAAACATTGGATGCGTTGTGCAAAGGAACTTAATCAATGGGATATTTTATTAGATTATGCTCAAACAAATAGAGAAAAAAATATGTTCCTTATTCTAGAAAGCTCTTGGCGGGTACCTGACTGGAATCTTATGAAAAATGCGTTGTCCAAAACGGAGCAGTGCTATTCCAAGCAATATGGATTCAAATTGAATTTATACAAGGGCTATTTATCAATTCTGTATCAAGAGGATAGGCAAGCCGCCAGTGTTGAGCGTTATGTTGAGGTTGCTTCGAGTTTATGCATAAGAGAGTGGCGGCGCCTACCCAGAATTGTATCCCACATTCACTTGCCATATCTTCAAGCTTCTCAACAAATTATGGAACTGCACGAAGCAAGCCAAATTCATCAGGGCCTAACGCAATCGAGGAATTCTTCCTTACATGACATGAAAGCCATTGTTAAGACTTGGCGCAATAGATTGCCCATTATTTCAGATGATTTATCGCATTGGAGCGACATTTTTACCTGGAGGCAACATCACTATCAAATAATAACTCAGCACTTGGAGCAACAATCCGATCAAGGAAGTACAATGCTGGGAGTGCATGCATCAGCGCAAGCAATTATTTCATTTGGTAAAATAGCTAGAAAACATAACCTTACTGGAGTATGCCAGGAAACACTATCTAGAATATACACAATACCCTCGGTTCCAATAGTTGATTGCTTCCAGGTAACTACAAAATATTTTTATTATTTATTATCTTATTTATATATATTATAATGTATAATACCTATAATTTGTATACATATTCTGAATTCTTTACAACCGTGAATTAGGAAATTTTAATTCAAATAATGCTGTTGATTTAATATTAATAACTAAAAGTACTTCGGTTTAGAATCGGGATCGGAATTTAAAATTCCATTTACAATTTTCACACTTGTATTGAAATCGCGCACGAAATTGAATTATATATATTCGTTGGCAGTCTCCAAAAAGTGAAATGTATGAAGCTAAGGGTTCGAACCAACGAGAAGACTGAAGAAAGAATATATTTTTATATTAGTGTTTTTGATAAATTTAAACTATTGAAATTTTCAGCCAGTCTTTACTTAGTTTGTTGATTGTGTCGCAACAGGGACAATGCGAATAACCTGGTAGAATAAATACTTGCTATCAAGTATAAACTCAATTTAATTTTAAAACATGAGGTCGATTTAAAATTTATAAAAATATTTATTATAGAAAATACGGCAGCAAGTGAAATGCTACTTACAAATGCCCTCGACATCAGGACGCAATGAAATAAACGAAGCTCTTGAAGTAATTGAATCAACAAATTTAAAATATTTCACTGGTGAAATGAATGCCGAATTTTATGCACTGAAAGGCTTGTTATTAACGCAAATCGGCCGCACAGATGAAGCAGGAAAATCTTTCAGCGCAGCAGTTCAACTTCACGATGGACTTACTAAAGCATGGGCTATGTGGGGAGACTATATGGAACAGATATATCTAAAAGAAAAACAAATTTCCCTTGGTGTTAATGCTTTAATCTGTTTTCTACATGCCTGCCGTAACCAAAACGAGAGTAAAACCAGAAAATATATAGCTAAGGTTTTGTGGTTTTTGTCATATGATAATTCAAGCGACACCATGATTAGCACTTTTGAAAAATATGTGTCTGGGATTCCTCCATCCTATTGGCTGCCGTGGATACCTCAACTACTTTGTTGTCTGGAACAATTTGAGGGCGATGTTATATTGAATTTGTTGAGTCAGGTAAGTCTCGCTTATGCTGAATATCATTAATAGGCATTTACATTACTCCACATTCTTTTTATATATTAACATATCTAAACACTAGTACACATCCGCAGATGTGTGCTTCTAATTCCTTGATCCTCACCCTATGGGAAATGTGTCCCTAAAAAATTTAACTTATGTGTTAACTTAACAAAAACCAAAAATGGAAAAATAATTATGGTTTTAAATTGATTTTGTTTTTAGATTGGAAGACTATATCCGCAGGCAGTCTACTTTCCGATTCGAACTCTATATCTAACTTTAAAGATTGAACAGAGAGAAAAACATAAATCAGCTGAGCAGGCGGTATTCGCTGGTAAATTAACGTCTTCCGTAAGTACCACAACTTTAAGAGATTCTTATTTTTTTTCACTTATTTTTTCTTAAATTAAAACATGATTTATTTTGTAGAATCTCGAAAACATGGCATCAGTTTGTGGCAGAAATCAAGTGACGGTTGCGTCGGTTAACCCAATAAAAGCTACACCACCCATGTGGAGATGTTCGAAAGTAATGCAACTGCAACGTGAAGTTCATCCCACTATTTTAAGTTCGCTAGAAGGAATTGTGGACCAAATGGTTTGGTTTAGGGAGAGTTGGACAGAAGAAGTTCTTCGTCAGCTACGACAAGGTTTAATTAAATGTTATGCTATAGCATTTGAGAATCGAAGCACAGTTGTCAACGCAACCATAACGCCACATACATTGCACTTCGTTAAAAAACTGGGATCAACTTTCGGTATCGGAATTGAAAATGTGCCAGGATCTGTCGCATCTTCTATATCTCACTCTGCTGCATCAGAGTCTCTAGCACGACGGGCACAAGTAACATTCCAGGACCCTGTTTTCCAAAAAATGAAAGAACAATTTACAAACGATTTCGATTTTTCTAAGCCAGGAGCGATGAAATTACACAATTTAATATCGAAATTAAAAACGTGGATTAAAGTTTTGGAAGCAAAGGTGAAAAAGTTACCGACATCCTTTTTAATAGAAGACAAGTGCAGATTTTTATCCAACTTCAGTCAAAAAACCGCGGAAGTTGAACTACCCGGAGAGCTGCTGATTCCTTCATCATCTCATTATTATGTGCGCATTGCTCGGTTTATGCCACGTGTGGAAATAGTTCAGAAAAATAACACTGCTGCTCGAAGGTTATACATAAGAGGTACAAATGGAAAAATTTATCCTTACCTAGTAGTTCTGGATTCGGGGCTAGGGGATGCGCGCCGGGAAGAACGAGTTTTGCAGCTCAAGAGAATGCTTAATTATTATTTAGAAAAACAGAAGGAAACCAGTCGTCGATTTTTAAATATAACAGTGCCACGAGTAGTTCCAATTTCACCGCAAATGCGACTAGCTGAAGATAATCCCAATAGTGTTTCATTGCTGAAGATATTTAAAAAGTGCTGTAATAATGCAAAAATTGACTACGATATGCCGATTGTAAGGTACTACGAGCGGCTTTCTGAAGTTCAAGCGCAGGGTACACCAATTTCGCATACAATTTTAAGAGAGATTTTCAGTGAAGTACAATGCACTATGGTGTCAAAAACGCTTCTCAGGCAATGGGCCCTAAACACATTTGCTGCAGCCACCGACTATTGGCAGTTTAGAAAAATGGTGAGTTTACATTTAAGAATCGCTATTTCTTGTATTAAACCAAATAATTAATTTTATCTTACATAAGCATTTGAGAATAAGTTACACTTGAAAATGATTTAATTTGCTCAATTTTAATCTTTTGTTTATTTCCAGTTAACACTTCAGTTGGCGTTGTCATATCTATGTGAGCATGCTCTCAATTTAACACGGCTTAATCCAGATATGATGTACCTTCATCAGGATTCTGGACTCATGAACATTTCGTACTTCAAATTTGATATACACGATGATAAAGAACAATTTAATCAACATCGACCAGTGCCGTTTCGACTTACCCCAAACATTGGCGAGTTTATTACAAACATTGGAATTTCCGGGCTATTATCTGCTGCAATTGTGGCAACAGCTCGTTGTTTTATACAACCAAACTACAAACTAAGTTCAATTTTACAAACTATCCTTAGAGATGAAATTATAACTTTGCAAAAAAAAGGATTTCGGCAGAGTAAATTAATGGACACATCGCAGGAGCCTTGTGTTGATAATAACCCAATGGAAAACACTATTCGTGTCGTGAATTCTACTGTGGATATAATTTTATTACGATTAAATAAAATTTCTTATTTCGACAACATAGAAAAAAAGAAAATTTCTGCACTCATTCAATCCGCAACTAATATAGACAACCTTTGTCGAATGGATCCAGCCTGGCATCCTTGGCTTTGAAATGTTCAAAAGGATTATATATATAATATAGGTTAAAATAATGATATTGATTATAAAATAAATTAAATTTGTATTCTAAATTATAACACATTAGATATGCTCTTTTTTTTGCTTACGTTTCGCCAGTTTCAAAATACGGATGTAGAAATAATGAGTAAGAAACTTTTAAAGCTTGGTATAAAATATAAATAAATATAAATGTACTAATATATGTCGAATTATATAATTTCTTTATCAGTATCAATTATTATTAATTTTTGATAGCTTATTCCGTTATTGTGTTTTTGGCTGAAGACTATCAGGAATGTTAAGAATGTGGATGACGGCGTCCCCCAAAGACCAGTGAAGGTTGTTTAAAAAGAATTCAACCTGTGCATTTTTTAAACTTTTTATTAATATTAAAACAATTTGTAAACAACTCGACAGTTTGGTTAATGTTATTCAAAATACGTACATGTAAAAACTATATATACACATATTTATGTATAAACATAAACCAAAGTTCACTGTGTAGGGGATTAATTTGGTTACTCCCGCATTTGTAGAATTGCAGCATTCTGTAGCGAAATTGAGAATTTTGGGATACAAACTTTTCCAAAACTGTACTTTCTGATTATCTGCAAGATAGCCTGTATTAAAGCGTTCGTCAATTATTATATAAGAATAGTTGGGTGGCGCTATTGTGCTCCATTTGACATACACGTTCGACTTAGTAGGATTCGATGTTTTAGCAAAATTCGCCCATAATGTCATAATAATGTCTGCCATCTTTTTATCGGTTGAATTCCATTCTATAATATTGTTTACGTATGGAATACCCCAGACAAATATCTGGTCAAAATATTTTGGTACTCCTATCCAACTTGGTAGATCAGGACGAATCGATTTTGACCGAAACTTAAATATATAACTATAAACATTTTGATGCATACTTACTATGTCTACAAACATTTCTAATGGAGTTATATATGATTTTTCAGTATGAGCATTGATTAAATTTGTATTAATAGGCATTTGTTCAACATTATTTTTATCAGAATACATAAAGCTTATTGCATCAGAAATGATAGGAAAGTTTGTGCAGAATTGGTTGCTACCCCTTAGTTTATAAATATCATTTAGTGCGATGTCTGATAAAAAATTTGAAAGGTCCTCTGGACTTAACTCTACCGAAATGTATTCCTTCAAAATTGTAAGAACATCCTCCATGTCAGTTATTCCAACAATCACTGGTACTTTATGATAAGTTCCACTTCTAAATAACGCTTCCGGCTGGTTTTCGACAAATGGGTATGATGTATTACTTAATCCAGAATCCACAATGGGACCCCATTGAATTGAGGGTAGATTCTCAGATATGATTTTAGCGTCAACTCTCTTAAGGCATTGAATAAAAATTGACGTTGGTCTTCGAGCACATCCGAATATATTTGATATTTTATCCAAATCATTATTGAATTCATGCGGAAATCGAAGAGAAATTAAAGGATTACCGGACATTATAATAGCTTTGTGGAAAGCTCCCTTTGACCATTCCCCGGATGTCATATGCAAGGCGGTGCTGACAGCTCCTGCGTCATGGCCCATTAATGTGATCCGATTCTCGTCACCTCCAAAATAATTTATATTTTTCTTTACCCAGTACAATGCAGCCGACTGATCCATCAGTCCAAAATTGCCTTGCGCCTCTCCATCGTCAGTTGAAAAGAACCCAAAAATATTTAGTCGATATGAAAACGTTACAACTATAACTTTTTGTTTAAAAACGAGCTGAAATGGCTCAATGTCATATGGGCTGCCCATTGAAAAATTTCCGGAGTGTATCCAAACAACTACGGCATATCCATCAACTTCGGGTAGTCCTAAAAATAAATATTTCAAGTTAAATTAATTTTAATTAAAATTCAAGTGGCATGGCAAATAACATTTGCAAATGCTAGTGTGAATTTGTGGGCATTCAATATTAGGCTACAAGAGTCCCTGTGATTTTAATGCTTTCCTCATTCTTTGGGAATGTCAATGGAATCGGCAAAGCGTGGAAATGAAAGATCTTGCAAATGACGACTTCACAAAGAGGCAGATTTTTTAAGAGTAACCAATATCAAACTTTTTCATTTCGAGCTTTGAAAATAAGTTTGAAGTCGGACTTAAAACTTCACTAAAAAATATTAGAATCGCACTTTCCACTAATGAAGCTTGAAATTTGCGAAAAGTGTGAAACAGAATTTGGTAACTCTAGCCAAACAATAGTGGGATATTTTCAAAAATGGTTTTTATTTGACTTACTGATTTATTGAATTGCAAAATAATTATTTCTAAGCGGAAAATGATAAATTATTTAATTTTAAATCATTTTTTTGTGTTCACTTACCGTCAGGTACAAATACATTCAAATGTAAACAATTCTCCTCATATTTCCTTATTGCAGGCTCGTTAATATTTTTGCCTGATATAATATCCAAAACTTTATCTAATTGCGCATTAATTGATGGTCGGGCTGGTTGCCAACAGCTGGATGCAAATGTTGTTGCGTTGAAAATTCCTTTCCATGGCGGCAATTCGATATCGGGCGGCGAGAATCTTGCCGCGTGTGCATATCGGATGCCCAAATAGGCTTTTATATTTTGTGTTCGGTACATTTTTAAATACGTTCCAGCTATAATTCCATTGCCGGGTATATGTATAAATGGTGCATCTACGCTATTTACACGCATGTATAAGAAATTATAATTGACGTAGAACAAAATATAAACATACAAATTCTTCAAGCGCATCTTGAATTTTAGTTTTGTTTGCACATGCCTGGATGGTTTAAATTAAAATATCCAACGCGATTACACATCAATTTAGTTACCAAGGTAAAACAAAAAAATAAAATAAAACCAAACAAGCTAATAAACGCTGTTGCCAAGCCATTGTGGCCATGGAAACAATCAAATTTGGATGTTAAGCCTTTGTTGCTAAGGAATTCACGAGGTTGCCGATGCACAAATTAAGATATAATACAGCTTAGATGTAGTGCGTAAGCTGGAATATTTAACCAGCTCTATTACTTTTTTACCCAGTTTTCGACATTTAATTCTGGCGAACTCCACTTCTAGCTGAAATTTCCATCCAGGAGCAGTAGGAAAAATATCTGAAAATGAGCTTGAAGCGGATCCGCAAATTATGTCACACGCATAGAAGAAGAAATGCTTCCAAAGACCTTTCTAAATGAATTTTGAAAGCAAAAAAAAAAAAAAGCAAACCTGATTTTGAAGATATTCGAATGGTAAACAAAAAACTTTCATACAATATATTTCCGCCGATTTACCACAGTATCGGGTGGAATTTCGAAAATCGCGGAAACAAGTTTTCATAAAGCTCTCATGTGGGGCTTTGAAAGTAAATTTAAGACCACTCGAACGAAACTTGGAGCTTACCCAAAAAAACTAATTTTTCCGCATTTTCCCTAAAAATTTTCAAATTAATTTTCTGAAAGATTTGTTCGAATAAGCTTATACACGAAATTTCGCCTGTTCAACATATTTTTTGTGTTGCAAAATATTTTGTTTTCGAAAGTATTTGCTCAAATATTTGCAAAGCTTATATATTTTTTTATATTCATATTTTTTATGTTATATTTTACTTTTTCAACGAAGGAAGAAGGTTTAAGGTATCTTCTAGTCGGGCACTCCCGACTAAAGTAGTTACAGAGTATGACATCCTTTCTATAATTTAAATCAAAGAATATTCATATATAGTGGGCTTTCATTTGAAAGTCTCGTTTACCAAATAAATACACTTATTTTCGACAAGACATATAAGAATCAAAAATATATATAATATGGATAATGAATATGCATCATGCCAAAATTTTTCAAATGGCTCCAGCACTTCGGCTCGTTCAGATCTACCGCCATGCACAAAATCCAAGAAGGATATGAATGCAGGAAAAAAATCTGAACACGAAAATTCGCCGCAATGTTCCAACATAATCACAACCTCAAGCACGTCGTCAACAACAACCATTTCGCTGGGCGCCTTAAATTCCGATACCCAATTTCAAAAAGGAGCGGAGCACGAACCTCCACACATTGGCTATGAGCTGAGTGTAGCCAAGTCCATACTGCAACAATATAGTACATTAAGCGGAGACAACTTGTGAGTATGTGAATTCAATAATTAAATTACGGCTGTCATTAAAATTATAAAAAGGCTTTTTCATTATTTGGCAGTCTAATTGCATAATTAAAAGCGATCAGTACCGTGTATTGATTAAAATGGGCTCAGACAAATTTTCTATATACTTCAGTGTCCAATGTATTCGAGAATTTATCCTAGTTTTTAATTCAATGTTAGTCGACATTTACAATTTTTAAGTATTATTACATAACATGCATAACCCAGAAATATGTTGTTCGGTTGGGCGATATATTTTTTTTTTTGTGACCCTAGGAAACACTTGCCGCTTTATGGATGGGGACGACCGTAATAGTAAGGCTCTATAAATCAACCGAGTACGACAGCGGTGACATCGAGTTTTTAGGGGTAGGAGGAAAGCTTAACCAAAGCACGGTGGCTGACAAATACCTTATGCCTAGCAAATTTCATTTGAGCAAAGCTAGATTTATCAAAACTCTAGACCTTAAACCCTTGACAGAGCGGCATCAAGAGAAAAGATCGCTGCAGACAAGTCCAGTAGAAAGTTCAAAGCAAATTGCAGAACTTCCTCTTGGCGGTTGCTGGGTTCCATCGGCACGACAACGTCTACTTGGTGCTCGGAGCGAATATGTATCCGCAAATAATCCGCCCGGGGTTGATAACCAACCAAGTCGGTCTGTCGGTGGTCCTCGGAACCTGCAGCCAGGGACGCCAGGACACGCCTGACCTCCCACCTTTTCAAAGATCTCCATTTGTCAATAGCATTTCAAGGGGTGCGTGATTCGAAACATTCGAAATATTACACCACATTATATCAATAAAAATCGCGCCATCTCATTTTTACGCAACCATCAGAAAATTGCCTGTACTCGGCATCAACAACCGAGTCGATTTCGCCATGTCCATGTGTATGTCGGGTTGTTCCGACTGTAGCACTCACACAACCTTATTTACCGCACATGGCGTACAAATATAAGTTTTTTTCTTCTTAATATTGTAGATTTGATCATCTAAGTGATATTGTAAAACGAGTTGTTGATGAACGACCTCCAAATGTTATCGATTTTTTTGAGGAATTTAGTCGAAATGTGCGCGAGCAAAAATTTCATGTACCAGAACGTTTTCCTCCGAACGGCGTTTTTGCAGACAGTCGAATGTTTCGTCCTGCGAAAAAAATATTGTGTTCAATGAAGGTATTTATTGCGTTTAGGTATATTTAATGATAATAATTAGAATTATCATTAGTTACTCCACAATATTGAAGGTTTTGACTTTGGCTGCGAGGAGGACCTTCCCTCTGAAGAGGCATTTCCATATGTTGATGGTGACCTTCGCATAGAACTTGATGATTCCATGCGCTTGTTTGTAACATTTAACGAACGTGTTGAACAGCTTCAATTCTATTGGAACCAATGCGGCTTTCATATAAGCAAAGATGATATCTTTCAATTAGCGTGTTCCATAAACCGACTACAGACACATCCATCAATAATGCAATGTCGATTTTGGGGTTGTATAAATGGATTGAAAGGTTCTTACTACATTGTGGAAGCCTCACTCACACGCGAGGAATTGAATTCTCGAAAGGCTATGATGGAAGAAGAAATGCGAGAAAAGCAACTTCCGTTTAAAATGAGGAAAAATCAGGAGCAAAAGCCTTTACCAACTCATATTGGCCCCGAACTAACTCCAGGAGTTTATGGATGGGAAAATTATGCTTTAGACGATTTGGAAAAGATGACACCAAAAGCTCAACCAGTTCCTTTAGCAGAGGAAATCGAATTTTACGATATACCACCAGAAAATGTGGGACGTGGATGCAATCGTTACTCGTATTTTGTGGTTAACTGCTTGTACAATGATTGGATCGAGCTACCCATTGTTACGCCACGACAAATCGTAGTTTCTCGCGGAATCAAAAAGTTCTTCACTGGCGATTTGGAGGCTGATGTAGTATCATATCCATGCTTTCCAGGAAAGGAAAAACATTATTTGCGTGCAATGATTGCTCGCATTACAGCTGGCACCCATATTGCACCGCAAGGTTATTATCGTCGGATGACTAAGAAGGAGCAAAACCTTTTTGATGGCATCAACCTGGACGAAGAAGAGGAAGTCGAGGAAGAAGAAAATTTCAATGAAGGTGAAGAAGAAGAAATAACAGGTAAAGTATTTATTACTAACTGTTTAATAACATATTTCCTTAGTTCCCTAAAAACACTTTAATACCCTTCCATTCCCAATGGAGATTTCGCCAAACCCAAAAAAGTCAAAATATATAGTCCTGATCACCATCAGGTAGACACGATAGTGCATCGAGTATAAAGAAATCGCCTAATGACATTAATGATGGATGAACTTGACAGTTGATCTATATTATTCTCTGTTACATTTACTAATGAAACTTTTATCTATTAAGATAATGACGTAATGCTCATGAAAAACGAAAGGTTTGAAATCGAACCATTAAGCTCTTTGGCAACTCCCGTTGCCTGGGTTCATTGCCGAGCGAATATCTTGAATCAGGGTCGTGTTGTATGGTTCGATGAAGAGAAGGCTCGCAAGGAGCGGGAAAAACAACTTGCGATGTATTTAAGGGCGCGGCTATTGGAAGAAATGGAGGAAGAAGTTGAAGAAGAAGAAGGTGAAGGAGAAGAAGAGGGTGACGAAGAAGATATGCTTGAAGGGTTCATTCATCCAGAAACAGGGCCTGATCTCTTATCGTCATGTGCGAGCGACATGAGCAAAGAATGTGCACATCCCTGGCTGGTGCGTCTTACGAGCAGGTATACCAATCAAAAGGAGCGCTTGTTGGTGCTGCAATCAAATATATGGCCTGGGGCTTTCACCTTCGTTTTTGAAAATACCTGCGAGTCAATATATTTGGGATGGGGACATAAATTTGTCAGACGCAACATACCATTCAAGCATTTGGCTATAGTTCAAGAGGAATTTCCACACCAGGCCGAAGACTTTATTGAAGCTACGGATCCAACTCTTGAAGATGAAATCGCGTATAAGAATTGGCTTTTAAGTAAACAAAAAAGGAGTCCGAGCCTTGGAGAAGATATTGCTGAATATGACGCCGATGATTTGGACGATAACTATGACAACGATGACAATGATGATTAAAATTATAAAAATAATATAAGTTATTTGTAGCACTTAGTATGTCAATGTTCTCTAAATAAATACAAATTTAATATTCATAATTATCGACATAATATAGATTCTTAAAAAGAAGATCCCGATGCAAAGTGAGTGCTTAAAATATTTTTCAAGAAATCCCTTAACAATTCGGTTGCAAAATCGGTAGAGCCCAATACCGGAATGATAGACGGCCAGCAAGAATGTCCTGTCAGAGGCTCCCTCGCGTACCTGAAGCTAAGTCATCTAGATAGGGGAGCTGGAGCTGTGTGCCTTATGTGGCTTATTTGAAGGGTCGTACAGCGAGTAGCTACAGCTACAGTCGCTTCCCAATACGGAACGGAAAGGACCGAGGAACAGAATTGAGAAGCGGGCTTAACACCGTCAAAATATTCCTAAAGGAACGCAAAAGTTACAAAGGCCAGAAGCTATTTTTAAAGTATTGAAGAGCCACAGCTGATGGATGCCGAACTGGTGGACTGCGCGTTACAAAGGCCATCAAATTAGCGCTATGGCCAAGGCGTACCCGCAGAAGCTATTTTTAAAGTATTGAAGAGCCACAGCTGATGGATGCCGAACTGGTGGACTACACGACTGCGCCCTCGCTTTGTAGGTCAACAAAGTGACTCCTGATCAGCTACTACAGTTCAAGTTTAAAATAACTAAAATCGTAAATGCAAAATTTATAATTTTTTGCACAGCTCATTAGGTGACATGGGCAGGTGCTTATCAATGCAACGAGGGATCAAAGACAGCGTCAAGATCATTCCACAGGCCACAATAGAAAAAAGCTGTTCATATCCCTCGGTCCTGTTGAAATAATACTCTCAGCATCATAAGACATAAGAAAAAAGATTCCCCAATGCGGAACAATTGGAGTTGGAACATCGCATCTAGACAAAAGCATATCGCCTTTTTGTCCAGAGTCTGAGAAAGTTATCGAAAGCTGAGAAGTTATTTTATAGAATATTTATTTTTATAGAAAGTAATTAAGGGGATCTGAAAGCGATAAAAAGGAAACAGGGCTGTTTGATGCTGAGGCTGTGCACGCAGAAAGCAACAACAATGAAAATGTTCGGCAGACGCAAGCAGAGATCGAAATCGGAGGACAACTTTCAGGCAAACAAAATTAATCGGAAAAGTCACCCGGACTTATTGTTAGCTTCTCGTAAATACTATTTATTACGACTCTGCAATTTATTATAAAGCGCATGCGTTAAAATATAACAAGTACACATAGTTATCAAAGTATAAAGGAGCTATGCTTTGTTTAAAAGAAACACAAAAGTATATTTTAATTTTAATGTTTTTTCTCATAATTCTATTACCTTCAAAAATTGATGCTGACGAAAAGAATATCAATAGACTGTTAAACAACCAAGCTGTTGTTAGTCGCCAAATTATGTGTATTCTTGAAAAAAGCCCGTGTGACCAATTGGGACGACAACTAAAAGGTACATTTATATTATATGTAAATAAATTTTTTTTACAAAGAATCTGTTACCTATCTTAATTTTTTAAAAATAATTTCAAAAATGTTCTGTTTCTTTTTTTTATGTTTAAAAAGTGATCCTTGATTTTAAAAATTGTGACGATGCCATGCAAAACACACAATATCCGACAATTTAGGGAGTGGACTAGCTTACATTATAGGAAATTATGTTCTTTAGCTTGATTTGACTTTGGGAAATAAATCGCGTCGGTCTTCGCCACGCTACTGCCAATCAAAGTCTTCTCATTAAGCAACACCGCGCATTACAAATTTTTTGTAAATTATTAAAATATTAGATTTTGTAAATTGGTAAACCTACTTTACAATGAGCTATGGTCCAATTAAGACGGATATGGGAATTAAACTTTTTTTGGTATGCCAAATAGCCAACTCATTGCCAGCCAAATAGCATAGACCCTTTATATGATGTAGATAAGCCAGTTGTTTTTGAATAAAGATTCAAATTACTGTACATTTTGGGTACAGAAGGAACACTTCTCTCTCACTTAAAACAATTCCTTATGTATAACGCTTAAATATCTCCTTTTTTCTAGCTGCTCTACCTGAAGTTATAACAAGAAAATGCCGCAATTGCTCACCGCAACAAGCTCAAAGTGCACAAAAGCTGACATCGTTTTTGCAAGCTCGCTATCCGGACGTTTGGGCAATGCTTTTGAAAAAATATCAGAATGTCTAAACATGTTGCATGAATTTAATTGTTATTGTAAGAACGCACAGAATACATAACTCGAAATTTGCAAGCTTAGTTAAGTGATTATTATTTTATTGTAAGTTTCTTACTGTAATAAGTAAAATATACGCCAAAAAAACGCCGTTTTAAGCAAAACACACACCATGGTGGTAATCATTTGGCAAATGCCTGTTCTTGTCATCATTAATATAAGCATTGCTATTGCTAGTCTTAAGTCGAACAGATCAATTTATTCATGCTACTACGTTTGCTGCTGCCTTCACTCGCCACGGAGTTTATGTTAGTTTAATTATAATTAGTTTAAATAAATTTAAAAAAAAATAAATAAAAAAAAGCATATTTGAAAATGCTTTTTTAATTGCAAATCTGAAGGAGTAAAGGAACCTGGTCATGAGTAAGCCTGAACGCAGACTGATTGTCAGCGAATGCTTGGCGCTGGGAATCACTTTGGCCACAATCGCCAAATTTCTATGGCCGCTGGGAAGCCGCAGTGAAGGCAGCTAAGCATCATTTTTACCGCGTCGATGAAAATGCTGTTTTCTCATTTCATGAACTTCGAACCCTTATTTGCCAAATCTCTACCATGTTAAATTCAAGACCGCTCTGTCCCATTACTTAAAATCCAAGCGACTTGAAGGTACTTACGCCTAACCACTTTCTCTGGGGCAAGTCGAACGCTTCTATTGACGAGCTCGACATCTGATCGTCTTAGCCGCTGGCAACGCGTTTGCCACACGCAGCAGCCCTTTTGGAAGAATTGGAGCATCGCTTACCGCGCTCCCAAGAGAAATCTTTAGCCTGCTGCTCAAAGAGGCCAACAGTCCACCACTGAGATGGCCTCTCGGTCGATTCGACAGAACAATACATGGAGACGACGGTGTCGTGCGAGTGGCCATCATTCTAATTGCAAGCGGACTGCTCAAGAGAGCTATCACAAAGATCGCTGTTCTGCCTATCGAGACCACTTCGCTTGAAAGCCTTCGACTTACAACTGGGGGAGCATGTTCGCAGCAGCACATCTTTTAATTTACCTCTTTTTTTGTCACTTTAAAATACTTCTCCTCGAAACAATAAGCAATTAAAAGTTGCCAATAACGCGGTGGCGGAACTTCTTAAGACATTGTTAATCGCTCTCTGAAAGATGCTTCCTGCATTCTTAAAACCGGCAGACGGCAAAATCTATTTTTAGCAAGTGTTTAGCTCTTATAGCTTCTGAGATCCATGCGTTCATATATACGAACGGACAGACAGACGGACATGGCTAGATCGATTCGGCTATTGATGCTGATCAAGAATATATATACTTTATGGGGTCGAAGATTCTTTCTTCTGTATGTTACATACATTTGCAGAAAATCATTATACTCTTTTTACACACTGTTAACGGGTTCATGACTTAAAATTAGAATATTTTTAAATTTCAGGGATATGAGGAGAGTGCAAAATAAATACTTTCTTGAAGTTCTCAAATCGATATTTATCGACACTGTAAAAGTTTAGCAATAATACAGACTCATTTTTCGTAAGCTACTTGTGGGTACGTAACCTTCTTACCTTCTTCCTCCAAAAGGGTCCAGTAATTAATTCAACTGAGTGAATGAGTTATATTGGGATCAAAATTTTCTGTCATAGGTATTGATATAAAGAACATCGATACGTCGATTTGTCTATGTTCACCAAAACCGTTTTGTCGATTAAAACTCCATACATTTATAAAAGAGAAAAAATAAAAGGCTTGATATAGATACACATGTTTATTATTGTAGGTTGTATGTTTAAATGAATGCTAAAATTGAATTCTAAAAGTTAGTATAATTCGAGTTTGTGTTATACAATATGACGTTCAACACCACAACGTAACAACATAAGACAACGTTAAAACTAATCAAAATAATTAGATTTCCACTTGTTTGCTTATCTAAAATTTTGGAGATTTACAATGTACTTGCTTCTAGGTGTGGAATGTTATGTAATCCGGTATCTGGATTGGCCCAGTAGTAATTGGGAGGACCTTGGCTAAAACAATATTTCATATCGAGTGGTTCTCCTTCCTCTACGTAGTACATGAGGTAAAAATTACACATTTCGTCTTCATTTGTTGGCCTTTAAATAAATAAATAAATAAATATACATTATTAGTAAAACTTACTAAATTTTAATTTTATTTTGCAAAGCGTTCAAGCTTAAAATATGGACAGTAATCGTCAATCTTCCATCGACAATATCATGGATTAAGCACAAGTAATATGCGTATCGTTAGTATAAAACTTTTTCGCTCAATGTACTTCGAAAACGAAACGCAGAGCACAATCGACCAGCATTGCTGAAGGTAGGTTGGCGGCTGACTTTGTAGCTCGTGTCAGCATCAACATTCGTTCGTCTGGCTTTTGGAGAGCGAAAAGCCAGCCGGCTTGCGTGTCATTTAAATAGCGAAAGGCCAAATGAAAAGCCAGGTTAGAAATTTTGCGTCGCATTAAAATGTATGAGCGTTACTCATCTTAGTGTTTATATTCTCTTTGATTATAGTGTGAATTAATGACTAATGACGATAGTAAACTTTTTTTTAATAACAATAAGATATCTTCACGTAGTTGCATTTGTATATTGATGGTCGTATAATAAAATAAAGTTTTCTTTTTATAAATACGAATTGTACACTAAATATAAGCAAACAAAAATTGTTTGCAACTAATAATAATAATCTCTGTTTATACAATACATTTTAATCGGCAAATTCGGTGTATTTCGCCTGAATAAACTCAATAAAATATAATACAATGCCAATTTATAAAAAATGTAAATAGACTCACCCAATTTCTGTCGTGCGTTGACGTGTGCTTTTCATAGTACACCTGGCAGCGACATAATCACCGGATAATATAGGTGAGTTGTCAAAAACATTATAAAACATTTGTGGTGTAAGTGGATCCCTCTTTCCAAGTAACGTCCACTCTTGAACTCCATGAGCATTGGATCGAACCCTATATCCAGAAACAACTTTTCCTAACCCATGCGTATGAGTGCGATAAGCAAAGGGATGAATCGTTTTATTTTCAGTTATCTCACAAGCGGCCTCCATATGCTCTGTCTTCATTGGAGGAATCATTCCATCAGTACCCAAAAGTAAGGTACCGGCTAGCTTTGTAAGTCTGTAAAAAAAATCAACACAGAATAAGATTAAATACAGTTGTAGAAATACTTTACTTACGGCTTTTCAGTATACTGCAAAAATATACCAGAATCATCGGTAGATCCGTCTAAGGCAAACAAATGTATAATTTTTAAGGAATAAATATATATAATCTATAATCATACAAACCTTTGAATTTATCAATATGAGAGTAATGCACTTGTAAGACCAAATATTTTGTCGGTGAATTCTTGCCTACTTTAAATCCAACACCCGGAGGTAAATCCAATTTTGGTGCATCTCTTGCCCAAGCATATAAAATCTATTGAAGAGAATTTAAAGGTGTATATATCGTTTAAAAATAGCATGAACGACTTTCTTCGACACTCCGAAGTTTTTCAATTTAAAACCTGGTTTATTTTTTACAAAGTAGACTGATTATTAACACCATTTCTATTATGTAAAGATGCGGATCCATCCCCGTTTTTCTCCTTTACATTTTAGATGTAGGTCTTCCTAGTGTCCGCGTAGTACGAGTCTGTTTCCGATAATTGATAACTTGCCCCGTTTCCAAGTAATCGATCAATATTGGTTTTAGAGTCCCCAAACTTGACATGTTGCTTCTAGACTAGTATATATATATCAAGTATCCTTCATTTTATAGCTATAACCACCACCCCGTATCCACCGCATGGCTATAAATCAAATAAAACACCAATTTGTATTGCCTACCCATTTAAGCCAAAATTTAAATGCAATTCTCTGGTTGAGAATATACAAATATTCTAAAGTACAATAAGATCTACTGTTGAAAATTTTATCAAGATCGGTTAAGAAACACAGAACTTATTAAAGAAAATGTATTTTGGCTGCCCACGTTGTTTGGGCAGATAGCGAAAATTGCAACAATTTCTATATAAAAATAATTAGATGGACACATACTTATTCACGCGTGTCTTTATTGAATTCTATCAACACTATTGCAACTGCGATTGTATTGTATTCTGTGCTGTGTGTATGTGTTGCTATTTTAATTCGTTTATTTTTCCACTAGGAGTCAATTGGTGGTATGGCTGTTGAGTAGAGGCGGTGGTAGGTAGTGTGGTCTGTTACGGGTTCGAGTCTGGGAAAACAGGTGAATTATCGAAAGTTTGAAATAATTTCGTAAGCCGGCGCCTTTTCTGCCTGTCGCATAAGCGTCAAATATAATACTGTTGCTGTTTCATTCCAGATCCCGACGGATGTAGGATGCATTATTCTACTACGGCAGTTCCCAGCGCTGAGTAAGTACTTTTTGTAAATTGACTAACCTGAGAATGTGACTGGGGACCGCAGGGACTTCCTGTATCCTCATCTGCTGATTTTGTCATTTCTCCACAGTTCCTGTGAATAAATTGTTGGTTTCAAAGATTTGTTAACAAACATATATATACTTTCTGTATATAAAATAGGTGTTTATAAATAGGTGTGCTAAAAATCTTACCAAGTAATTTTCGTTGTTCCTGGTTCACCGCATCCATAAAGCAACATATGATGAGCAGTATTCATGGTTGCGTTTGGTTTGTAGCCAACTGTTCTTAAACATATTTTGATTAAAAATACACAAAACAGTCTAAATTTCTTAATTTTCACGTACCAATATAGTACGATGTTGTTGGATCAACTTTGATGGGAGTGCACAAATACAAATCCGGCTAAAATATAATAATTTAAATATATTTGTCACTAAATCAATATAAACTTTGTTATTTATAAATCTAATGACTGATGTGTGTATATCTTCCTAAAAAATCTTATAAGGCCATATGTTTTCACTGTATATAATCTGAACCCAATAAAAATCCCGCGCCATTCATGTTTTTTATATCATCCATAACTTGCCTTGTTTCAAAGCACTTCAGAAAAATCACATGACATAGATAAAGAAGTTCTTGCAATTTGCGCAAACACGCAATATCTATAAAATGATAGATACTTGATGTGTATATATTATAGAGAAGCTGCATATCAAATTGGGTGAGTCTAGCTCTTAAAATCAAAGGGATTGCACTAGGAGGACCTTCGTTGAATATTTCAAATCTCTAGCCCTCATAGGGTCTGAGATCGACGCTATATTGACTCGGGTGTTGATGCTCAACAAGAATATATATGGTCGGAGATGCTTTCTTCTGTCTGTTACATGCATTTATATAAAAACATTATACCCTTTTTACCCATTTTCAATGGGTTCGGCTTTTTAAAAAGGGCGCCAGGTCCCACATCGACTTCGCTTTGGTTCGGGCTTCTGACCAAGTGAGCGAACTATGGACCAGGACCAGAATGACCTAACTATTTTTCTAGGTGCCCTATCTAAATGTTTTTAGTGTTTCTACATTTAGTAAAAAGTGCACAGAGCAATATGTCAATGGACCATATGCTAACGAGCTTACATCCATACTACATACAATTATTGTACACGCTAAATTCATATGCTTCCATGCAATTACATATGTACATATAAAAATGTTATATCTTACAGTTTGTGGCGAAACCGATGGCATGAGGAATGGAAACGAACCACTGACATGTTTGCCATAATCCCTTCCATTTACTGGATACGTGACCGATTGCTGATCCACAAGCCCATAGGCAGTTATAATATTCCAAAGTAATAGCACGGAATAACAAACTGATATTGCCATTTCGACATGAACGTATTTATAACGTTATGATAAATATAATTAAACAAAAAGTATCACCCTTTTGCAAAACATATGTTCTTAAAAATTAATTGGTTGTTTTTCCTAGCATACGATGCACTAGAGGTGGGACTCCATTAAATTCTTTCTGACTTGTTAGAGCTCGACTACCGATACCGATATTTTAATCCACTGATACTATCGATAGATCATCAAACTTATTTTCAACAGATACATGAATTCTGAGAGTGGCTAGATACGGTTCACATTATTGTCATCTCAGACTGAGTACATTTTCGGGGAACGAATGAAACTTATTGATGATGTGAAACTGCTGTTCACATAGGCAACATCTAGTGTCTTTCAAAATGGTAGCCCTAGGAAGTAATGTGAAAAGAGGTTCAAATTCATATAGGCACCATGGGTTTTTTTTATTTTAATATGAATACTTATAATATTTATTATTTTCATTTCGAAGAAATTCCATCAGCAGTGCCAAAAATTTGCAGTGCTGTATGCTATTTCCTTCAGCATGTTCCTTTGCCCTTGTTGGTGCTTCCGTTAGGATTTTCGCATCTCCCGTGCAATTTACGGTTACAGTACTGTCGCTGCTGATAGAAATTTCAGGGTTGAAAATAATCACTTCATTTTCGACGTACTCGCTAATACTCAAATCAACTAAATAATTAAACACTATCCATCGTGGCTCCAACAGGGCTCTTAAACAAGCCCAATATTTAGTCGATTTTTATATAAACAAATTTTTATCAATAGGTTAAGAGAATTGTTTTTAATTCGGATATACTCTAAGTAATCGGTACTCGAAGATTCACTAGTCTCATAAGGATGCTTATTGACTTAGGCAAGTTTGTGTTCTGCTTCGAACTATGCAGAATCTATCTCATACAATAGCCCACGTAAATTAGGAGCTTTTGGTGTCATGAAAATTAATTTTGTTATTTTTCTAACGCTGGCCATAACCTACCCCAAACTATTATTTATATCCCAATTAAAATAAACTCGAAGATTTAATTACAATGATCAATTAAATTAATTTATTAACATATACAAATTAATTTATATCCAAACATGGCTTTTGCGTTCTGGCCGCTGCCAGCTAAATGTTTGTAATTTAATTTATAGAAATTATATTAGCATCGCCATAGAGAATATTGATTTTCTACCGAACTAACCCCAGTTCACAACATACATATGCGAATACAAATTTATATATATCATGGTATGGGCAGTAACCTGACAAAATTAGTTATTTTCGACAGAAAAAGTCACAGCAGAAAATAACACACCTAGCAATATAGGTGTATATATAGTCACACACAACAAACATAATATCCTCGCCGGTCCTGATAGAACCAAAGCTGAGAGTACATTCCATTTTAGCGTTTTCGGCCTTTTAGCTGTCAGAGCGCAAGAGTACTGATTTATTTTCGTTCTTAGCTTAAAAAATTAAAATAAAACTGCATAGAAGCATTTTGTTGTCTGGCGTTACTTATCGTAGTATATATACCGTGATTGATGATAAATCATAGATATTTTTTGTTTTTAAGTTTCTGTTTCCAGTGTACCACAATTGATGCTAATCACGTTTGTATATCAATGTTAGCTGCACTTTATGGTCATTTACAACACTGTTACTGACAAATTATAATAACACTTCAATATTTCGTAGCTTGCTATTTGTAAAATTCAGTTCTTAATTTATGTGATCCGTGATGTTGTTTGTCAATTATTAATCGTTGTCCGATTTATAAACAAACATGGATTTTATTGACGATTTCATAGAAGAATACAAGAATAATCCGTGCTTGTGGAAAGCCGATTCAGCAGATTTTAGAAATCGAACAAAACGACAAGAAGCGTATATCAAATTAATTGCTGTGGCGACTAAACATGGAGAGCTATATAATGTTGAAAGGACTAAACAAAAAATTAACAATCTTCGGTGTGCATTTCGTCATCAGCTTCGAAAGTATAACGAAGTTAAAAAAAAGGGGGAAAAATATGAACCGTATTGTCCAAAGCGAAGATATTTTGAGTCACTTATGTTTTTAAAAGATGAGGAAATCCCTGAAAAAAAGTTAAAACGGGAAGATACCCATACCCTACCCATACAACATACAATAGATACAACTATTGTGCAACCTGAAGCTTGCGAGGAATATTCGGATGCTGAGAGCTTGTCCAAACAGTCCAAAAACGAAAACAAATTGTCGCCCAGCAACAGCACCAGCGCAAATGATTTCTGTGCCAATCTATTTGACGAAGCAGAAGTTGATCCAATTGTCAGTATCCAAAACGTCAATTCTAACAACAAGGCATCAATTAAGGAAGTTGAGGTAATACTGCCACCCGAAAACCATAATATGTCAGAAAGAAGGAAATCGTTTAATACTTCAATAGCCAACTCTTCAAACGATAAAATAAACTCTACCGTACATGCAGCAGAGTCAAATCGCGATAAACGCGTGATCACCCGTCATAAATACATCAAAAACAGCAGAAAACGATCATCATCTGTTTCATCCCAAGTCTCCTGTGAAAACGAGATGCAGTCGGGAAAATGCAGGGCAGACATTTCCAACATAGATCTTGACCGGCTGCTTTCGCTGGCACTCAAAAATTCAGATAATCAGTTGGATGATCATTTCACAAACTTTGGAAAAATAATTGCTCATAAATTGCGATCAATGGAAAATGCACAAGCTATATATGCCGAAAAAATTATTGCCGATGTCCTCTATCAGGGCCAGATGAAACTGTTATCTGCATTAAGTATAACCCAATTCCTAGGTGTAGATAATACAACTGTTTACGTTGAAAGTCCTCCAAAATAATTTTACCCAAAACTAATGTTATAATAATACTATGAAATTATATGCTTACATTTCGGCTACAAAAAATGTGATTTTATCTTTGAACTTAATACGCCACTAGTCAAAGCGGAAATATAAATTTCATTTTTAGTTGAAACACCAAATCGGCGGGTTGCTGAACATTTTATACATTTAGGTACATACTACCGATGAACGATATACCGTTAAGCTTTCTTCCAATGCGATCTATGTACATAGGCTGCGCGTGAACAGAATAGAGTCCATGCGCTTGTATTAGATGAACCATTTGAAATAGAGTCTTATAATATTTATCAATTGTACTCAATTCTCCCTGAAATATAACATGATATTTTAATAAATTTCTAAGTTAAAGTAAAAATTAAACCTCAGCAGTACCCAACATACATAAGTAAAATTCATTTCTTCGGCAGCAAAAGCCATTGCAGTGAATAACAACACATACATACATATTTTGATGAACTCATGCAAGAATAACTCACACATATAAACGTATAACGCCATTGGCTTAGACAAGAACTTATCTCTCTAGCATGCACTGTGCGAAAATGAAAGTAAGTTAACGTGGAAAATAGTATTTGTACAAGGTGCTCCATGTGGTTAAATACTTTATTTTTGTACACTGAACCCATTAAAAATGGGTAAAAAGAGTATAATGTTTTTGTGCAAAGATATTTCAGGGGCAGAAGGAAGCAACTACGACCCCATTAACTATGTATATATATATATATACTTGATCACTTGTATGTAGGAACGCGCCTAACTCAGAACCTATAAGAGCTAGAGACTTATAGTTGCCGCGCAGTACGTGTTTGTATCCGATAACATGTATGGTCTAGAATGGTGTATATAGATCATGTCTCTAATGAGTAAGGATGGTTCAATGGAGTAAATAGCCTAGCAAAAGGTGTGTGCGAATCTCCTAGTCGACCACTTCCGACTAGATCACTCTTGTAATTATTAATACACTGCGCGTCATTAGGTTGGCAGAAGTTCTATTTAATTCTCAGTTAAATAAAACAAAAATGGTTATTCTACTTTATTTTAATATATATTTTTTAAGCGTTTTAAAAAATAACATAAAAAAGACAGTTCAACTTTGGAATTTTTTGCATAAAGCTTTTAAGGCTTGAACTTATTTAGTTGCATCCATCTTGGCTTTCAAAATTAATTTTTTTTTCATCATAAGAGACAACTAGCGCCAGTCGAAATTCCTCGTCATGTGCGTTCGTGCGAAATTCAAGCGCATTTCCTTTTGAGCTACGTTAAGAGAGGGGTATTTTTTATTAATTTTTTTTAATTTTAGTTTTTAGGAATACGAATGTAACTTTTCGGCTTAAAAGTATTTTTATTTTTTGCTTTATCACATATTAACAGACCTGCATCGTTGTACGCTTCAATTCGTGCTTTTTCTTCCACGGATAATGATTTTCCTCTACTCATATTAATGGTAATGACTTATTGGGCTGGAAAAAAGTGTTGGTTGTGCTGCGTGCCCAAATATTAAAGATAAACCAAAATTTTCCATAACAAATTAAAGAAAATATCAAAAAATCATACAAAGGTAGCTGGTTTTCAACAAAGACCATATATATATCATTTGGTGTGCTAACCTGATGGCGCAGAGCGTGCGATATTAAAAACTGCCACTCGCAGATGCCATAGTATAAAGCACCCCACACCAGCATACCCTGCACCAAGCTGTTAGATGGTCCAAATGATACGTAGGCAAAAATAATAAATACTGTAGTTCTTAAGAATCGATTTTTGAAGTTGAAATTTCTAATTTATGTTTAACACTTCATACAAATTAGGAAAACTTACTTATAAAACAAGTAAGAGTGGTCTAGTTAGGATAGATTGTCTTAGGGGCATTCTGAACCTTCTTATACTAACATTAGCTTTACAGCTTTTCTTACCTATTTAATAGATATAGGTATTAATATAATTGTGCTTTGCGCTAGCTGACAAATCACTTGCCAATGTTTTTTTTAACTTCTGTGTTTCACAACAGATCTTGATGAACTATACCATAAAACATTTGTACACTCTAAAAAGGACAACGGCACCATAAAATTGTTGTCTGGTTGAAATTGGAGTTTTTGATTGTTTGATTTTGCGAGACGCGGTCATCCAAAAAATTAAATATACGTAATCTGCATATACTATACCAGAAGCTACATGTCTTAAAACCCTAGAAATATGCTCGAAAATCAATAATTCTTAATATATTTTGATCGATTGCTTGGTAATGGAAAGCGCGTTATCGATTACAAACAAACTCGTACTGCGCGAATAATAAGAGGACATACAGCGTATGGAAGCGAGCTGATGGTCGTGTAGCTACGAGCGGAGCACACTCTATGACGTCGGCTGGGGTGGATTAGATAGAGTATCACTGGGCTACCTACTCGCAGGTATGTAAATTCAAATAAATATTCGCGTGCTGTTGCGATTGTATTTAAAAATGAGAAAATTGCTATGCTGGCTGATGCTAATACGACGGCTGTAGCTCACCCTACCATGATCACCTGGGCCGCTTGACCAGATAATTGGTCGGTGAGTTAACTCAAGAGTTTGATGCATTGGGATTCTTGAGTCATATACTGATTCCAGGCAAGATATTCCTACAAGATTTGTGTCTGCTGAACAACGACTGGGATGAGGAGCTGCCGTCAAGTTACGCGACTCAATGGCAAACATCCCGATAGGGACTGAAGATGATAAGCCACTGTCCGCTGCCACGATTGGTGATTTCTATTACATTTGAGGTGGATTCATCATCTTGTCGAGCTTTTGCTAGAGCATTTTATGTCTACGTGCGCAATAAGGGCGGAGCGGTATCAGTGCGGCCTGTGACTGCCAACTCCACGGTCGCTCTAGTCGCTGAAATACAAAAGTTATGCAATATACATGATTGTTAAAAGGTAGAGTCAAATTTAAATCCGGCAGATATTGGGGGTTTGTATGAATCGGACTTCAACAATGCAACCTAATTTACAATTTGATCATTTTAATACTGCGTGAGGAATTCATTAGATTAATAGATTTAAAACCTATTAAGTCTACAAAAGAGAAGAGAGAGAACTGACACAAAACCTCCTATTTTACGTGGGGGCTTAATCGTTATGCGTCTTCTTGGAGCAGAAATATTGGATCATAAATTGAAGAAAATTGGCTAGCAATTCAGTGCGAAGTTGCATTATCTGCAATCGGCTTCGACCTGTCTTGGGCAGTCAGCTAATGGGACCGCTACCAGAAGGCCGAAAGCGAGGAGGTGTCTACAACAGAACCAATTTGGGACCAATTTGGATGCATTTTAACATACGAGAGAAGCGCCAAGTCAAGGTGTGTCTCTCTGCGTTCGTATGCTTTCTGACAAAGGCATACCATACAGAGATCACGATGGACTTGAGTGCCAACGCACTCAGGCGGTTCTTTGCCAGACGTGGACTAAACTCCAACCTGTTCTGTTTTTGTGTGATTCTCTTATTGGCTGGCTCAAAATAGAATACGGGCACATTTAGTGGTACCAGAGACAATATAAATCTTACCAGGAGTAACGCCATACAGCAAAATGATACAATAGAGCTTAATTTTTTTTTAAATCGAGAACGAAAATGCAGTGAATAACCAAACATATATATGTACATATTTTGTTGTACTCAGGCATGCATAATGCACACATACAAACAAAGGTGCTTGTACGCCATTGGCTGATACTAGAATTTCTCCCCAGCGTTCACTGTGCTATTTTCTGAAGTTTATTAGTGCACAAGGTGCGCTTTGTAATAAAATTAGTTTACTTTTAAATTTGCCTGTAAAATTAATCTTCTTAAAACTTATCATCTTAGTGTTTATATTGTCTATGATAAGAATACTGAAAATGTGTTTGTCAAATAGATGCAATATTCATTCGTTTGTTGCAAAAACGACGATACTTTGACTGAGTCCTCAATTTATAAGAATTCATGCATTTAAGTATTCAGATTCGATAGTCTACTCGATAACATGCCTATCTAACCGAACTCTAATTTTGGAAAGTAGATACATAATTGTCAGCTTAATGTATATTTATTTTTATTTAGGTGAGTTACAAGTGTTTAAGGATTCATCTATTAAAGTTACTGGTTTGAAATTTAATGTCGACCTTAGAAACTGTTGAAACAAAGACAATAACCGTCGCAAAGAAAATAAAAAATATATATACATATATTTAAATTCGGCTTAGAATTTCAAAATATGTTCTTAAACACTAGAAATTGACATGCGTAAGCAAGTCTAGTTATCTTAAAATTTGTATTGGTAGATAGTAATTTAAATTTATTTCAGATCCAAGCGAATGTGTGTTAAGCTATTGAATTAGAAATGAATCGTAGAGGTTTAAACGCTGGAAATACGATGACTTCTCAATCAAATATTGACGAAGGAAACTGGAAGAGCGTAACCGAAGGCTCAACAATGTTACCTTCTACGAACTCTGCGTCTCTAAATCCAGACGCCAGCAATCAGAGTGGATTCCCCCAAGGAGGACTACCATATACTGCGAGTGGGAACCCATATCCAAATGCTGGCCAATCTTCTCCTGCCGGTAATCAATCTTTAGTGTTTCAAAATACTAATCAACCCGGATCAAATACTCCTCAATATACTTCATCGCCAGCCCCTTCTGGCTCCTCAACCCCTGGTCCAGTGGGTGTTGCAGCGCAAAATATACAAGGAAATTATTCACAATCGTCAACATCAGGCAATTTCAACGGACCAGTTGGGGGGCCATTTGGATCACCGTCTTCCGGTTTGGGTCAATTTAGCCGACCAGCAAGTTCAGGTACTCCATTTAACAGTGGACAAGCGGGTCACTTTTCCTCCCCTACAGTTTTCGGAGTTGGAAGCCAGTTTAATCCCATGCCACCGGCATCTCCATTTGGTCATGGTGGAAACCATCCTATGATGGGGGGCCCTCAGCAAATGGATAGAATTGATCAAGGCTTCAGAAGACACAACTCATACTTCAGTCATACAGAGCATCGAGTGTTTGAGCTAAACAAACGCCTTCAGCAACGCAATGAAGATAGCGATAACTGTTGGTGGGATTCTTTTACAACAGAGTTTTTCGAGGACGACGCAAGATTAACAATATTGTTTTGCCTGGAAGACGGACCAAAACGATATACAATTGGCCGAACACTTGTTCCACGTTTCTTTCGAAGCATTTTTGAAGGAGGTGTATCTGATTTGTATTTTCAGCTCAAGCACGCTAAGGAATCGTTTCACAATACGTCTATAACATTAGATTGCGATCAGTGCACCATTATAACCCAGCATGGTAAACCATTTTTTACCAAAGTATGTGCAGATGCAAGACT